AGTGCCTATATAGAGATATAATGATGGCACCAGGCAAATGTCTCAGGGAGCCACCACAGAAAAGGCCTGTTCTCATGTTCCCACCCTTGGAACTTCTCAGAGAGGGGGGGACATAGAGAACGAAGGGCCTTGGATGACAAGAGTCTGGGTCAGTTTGTATGGGGAGAGGCAGTCCTTAAGGTATTGAGGTCCCGAGCCATGTAAGGCTTTATAGGTCAGCGCCAGCACTTTGAATTGGGTCTGGAAACTAATTGGTAGCCCGTGCAGCTGAACTTAGTAGGATTTCAATGTTTCATTGAAGTCATGTCCTGAGCAGAGAATCGTCTATTTTATTTTAATCCCCTGGGGAGGCATTCAGTGAGGTTGAAAACTGTTGGGGAAAGCCAGGCTTGCTCCCTGACCCACAGAGAAGTGCTTTGGGATAAGTGCTTTGGGGGACTGATTTGTAGCACATGTCTGTTAGCGCCGCCACCAAATCCTCAGGGGAATGGGAAATTTACATTCAAGTGACCTAGTTGGGGAAAGGGGTGGTGATGGAGCCATTAATTTTCATTTATGTAAAATTCTATCAATTTGACAAGTGTGGAAAGAGGTGCTGCTTATATGCATTCGCTGCCTGCTAGAAAAGATGAAGTAAAGCCCAACTTTTGGAAATGCAATAGCACTTAAGAGATAGTCTGCTCATGGAAAAGACGTTTTGTAATTTTATGTGAAATATCGCCATGGCTGAATCGGAGGCAGACCCGCGAACTGAAAAGCTCCTGGTGCAACTTTGGAGTTCACAGGTATGCCGGGAACCAGAAAGGTGTATACATTCTTGGTGCAGTTCCAAGGAAGGATGGAAAAGACTCCTGCCAGAGCTCCCAAGTCTTATGAGAAGTGGTTGAGGGAGCTGGGAGTGTTTTGCCTGGATAAGAGGAGACTGAGAGAAGATATGATAGCCATCTTCAAATATCTATTTTTTTTCCTTTTCCTTTTTTTTTAAATGATATTTATTGAATTTTTTTTAGAATTACAAAAGAAAACAAAGTAGAAAAAGAGAAAGAAAAAACAAAGAAAAAACAAACCACATCAAACAATACAAATTAATCAAAATAAAAATAAAAAAATATACCACAAGTATTTAAAAACAAATCCAATATTCTCAAATCCTTAACTGTCATTACCTTCTTTCTTTGACCTCCTCCTCCTCCCTTTTTTTTGTATCCTAGTTGTTAATTGTCGCAGCAAATCCTTTCCATATTTCATAATATTCTGTCATTACATTACCATAATCTATTTTAATCTTATATTACTATGAAAACCTTAAAACTTAAAACTTAAATCTTATTTTTACCAATTTCTCATAACCATAATATTCTTACATAATTCTTTAAATATTTTTGCTAAAGCCAAATAATTTCGTTCCAACATTTTTCTAACATTCTTCAATTTTATAAAAGAATCCTAATAAAAAAAACAAAAAAAATATCCAATTTTCATCCAGCGTCTCTTCCTCCTGGTCCCGGGTTTTGTCAGTCCTCTCTATCCCATCAGTCTAGCGCGTTAACCTGGTAATCTTATATCCGAGGCCCTTAAGTCCCTTCCATGTCGCTTCCGCGACTCTTCTTCATATTTATAGCTGTATTTTCCTTTGTCTCCTGCTCCTTTCACTCATGGGAACTCCAGCTTAACAATGTTTTTGACCCTTCTCGACAAATCAGCCCCTTTTCCATAGTCCACACTAAACTCCATGTGGTATTTAAGAACATGTTTCAAAGTCCCTCCAAATTTAAGAGCCCCCACAACCCCAAACATCTCACGGCCCATTACCAGACTTGAAAAGTCCAAACATCCCTGCGTAGGGGGGTCTATCCAACCCCCCATTTCCAAACCAAGCCAAGCTTTATCTTTCCAAATCTGGCTTTTTCCAAGTTCATTTGTCAAGTCCAAAAGCTCGTGTTCCTGCTGGGCCACAGCTCCCTCCATCTCTGGCGCCCGAGGTTCAGCACCATCCTCTTCCCTCATCTGTTCTGTCAGGGCACACTCCTGATTTGATTCCTGGGTGGGCTCCATATAACTTCCCACTGCCTGTTCAAAATTTCTGATCGCATCAGTCATCAAGTCCGTCTTCTCATGTAGCTGTTCCAGTAGGGCACTTGTTTTACAAAGAGCACACAGCAGAGCTTCTGAATACATTGTCCTACAAGGTCAGAAGTCTATTCCCACGATCGTAATCTGTAGCAGCTGCAAGCTCCCCGTTTCAGAATTGGTTACAGTTTCACAGGCTCCCTCTAGGGGAAAAACTTCTATTTGTTCTTTTCTTTTAAAGACAGATCTAACAACAAAGTTTCCTTTTTCGGATATTTTGTCAATATTTGTTCCTTTAAAATGTGAAAGGGAGCAATGGAATCACTATGTTTCTCTTCTTTTAGCTATCTGTCAAAAACGTTTGTCTCTGGTCAATGAGCTTCAAAAAACGTCAGTCCTGACACCCCGCTCCAGGATCAAGACGGTGGAAAGTTACTTTGCTTTACACTCACTTCTGCAGGTTTAAACAGTCCGAAAAAATCCCCCTCTTCTCCTGCTTCCGAAGGGGTTCAACAATTTTAAATGGTGAAAGTTAATCCTTTACAAGCGATTTTCTGAACTCTAGTTTGCCATGTCTTTGCTTTAATCTATCTACAAAGAAACGGAAGGCTGACTTCCTGTTTAGACCTTCCCGTTTCAGTACCAAATTGAAATAAACTTTTAAGTCCAATTTTCCTTTCTACTCGCAATTCCTTATTTAGAGTCCAATTGTCCGAAATTTAAGTACTCACGGTGATTGTTTTAAAAGTCAAATTGTCCCAGGAAAAAGGCAGCGCTCTCCGGCAACGGCTGTGCGGCTTCGCTCCACGGAAGAAGCAGTTGACTCTCAGCACCGCGCCACTTCCCCCTCTTCGCTTCGGAGCCTGCTAGTGGGTTCCTTTGCGGGTTGGGGGGGCGCTAAAGGTGCCTGCCGAGTCCCATGGTCACAGGCTTCATCCGCCTGTGATTTTTGAAAGGGTCCCCGCTTCGCCGTAGCGGAAAAGACCCGTTTCCTGTGGAGCTGGTCCCTCCAGATCAGAGGGAATCCGCCATTACCGATGGCGCCACCCCGGAAGTCGATCTTCAAATATCTAAAGGCCTGTCACATTGAAGAGGGAACAAGCTTGTTTTCTCAGATTTCTCCTGCTCTGGAGGGTAGGACCCAAACCAATGGCTTCAAGTTACAAGAAAGTAGATTCCAAGTCAACATCAGGAAGAACCTTCTGAGTTGTTCCACAGTGGAATTGACTCTCTCAAAAGGTGGTGGACTCTCCTTCATTGAAGGTTGGATGGTCATCTGTCATGGATGCTTTAGCTGAGATTCCTGCATTACAGGGGGTTGGATCGGATGACCCTCAGGGTCCCTTCCAACTCTACAAACCTATGATTCTATGATCCCTGACCACTGGTCATGCTGGCCAGTACTGATCAGCACTGGAGTCCAACAACATCTGAAAGGCAAAGCAGGTAATGATGTGAGGCAGGGCCTTTTCAGTGATGGTGCCACAATTGTGGAATACTCTCCCTTAAGGCAAATGGCACTGAAGACAGTTTTATTATCTCTAGTGTTTAATGGAAGGTTGATTTTTTAAAGTTGTTGCTTTTATTAAAGGATTTTCATAGTTAACAAAGGGTACATACAAGTCTCTGTTTTCAATTCATTGAGTCCTTGTTGATTTTATTTTTCTTCTTCCTCTGTTGCTGTTGTTACTCAGAACTTCTGTTTCCAAAAAGGTGCTGTTTAGTGGTTTGTAATATCTTACTATTGGCATTTAATGATATGGGTTGGATTTCATTGCTAGCTGCTATGGAAACTTTGGCTGAGAAAGAGAGAAATCTTTCAAATGAAACTGACTCCCTTTATAGCATATTTATAGCCTTTAATTATAACAAACACAGTGCTATATTTACTAACCATACTGGGAGTAAGAAGGCAGTATGTGCTCCATGCTATATGTGCACCAAGGAAAATTCAAATTCTGCACCAAGAGTAGTTTCTGCAGCCTGTATAAATTCTGCAATTTGAGCAGATGTATGTAATTCATCTTATCTACCAGAACTGACTCACTCTGCCATTTTGCATTCTGTTTTGCTACCTACAGAGAGGGACAAGGCAGGGCACACAAACCTCCCCCATAGCCTAGAAATAATATTGAGGAACCTTTCTGTGGTTTCAGGTCCTTTTCTGTGATGGCACCTAAATTAGGGAACTCTCTTCCTAGACATGTTTGCTTGATTGCATCTCTGTTGTTTTTTTAGGTGCCGCACAAAATCTGCTCTATTCTTTCAAATTTTTGATGGTATTTGAGGTCTTTTAATATTTGATGGTTTGGCGCTTTTATCTCTGTGAGTTGTTATTGCTGTCTTGATACGTTGTTTTTTGAAATATACTCAAAGTCAGGAGTGGATTTCATGCTCTTTATTCAGCTCATAGTGGTGAGGAGGAATGGAAGTTCCCCCAAAGTATCTGCTTTATATACATTATTTACACAATGGGCTACACGTGATTGGCTAATTCCAGAATTCTCCTGTAGGCCAATTAGGTTGTGGATTCACTTCCATATGGAGCTGGGTTGGGTGGCTCCTGCAGACCAATCATACTGCTGCATTGTTCTAGGACCAATCAGACTGCTGCATTCTGAATCCTGTTCTTCTAGGACCAATCAGACTGCTGCATTTTGGATCCTATTCAACTCAGTACATAACATTTTTATTGTATTTTACGGTTTGCTATAAGCTGCTGTTCAGGGATGAACGGTGGGGTGTAAATCCCATTGGTAGTAATTGAATAAGCATACATGGGAACTAAGAGCACAGCAGTGTTCTGGCACAAATCCTGCTTGTTCCATTGTGTCCTGTGAAAGAGCTGGAGATTGTCAAGAGATGCTCAAGGGTTTTGTTCAGTACACATTTTTAAATGGACTGACCTGATTTGCACTTCCCAGACCAATGCACCGAGAAAGCTCAGTCGGTAGAGCATGAGATTCTTGATCTTAGGGTCATGGGTTCAAGTGTCACGCCGGGCAAAAAGTTCCTGCATTGCAGGAGTTTGGACTTGATGACCCTTGTGGTCTCTTTCAACTCTACAATTCTATGATTCTATGGAGGATAAGGCTACCCTGCCTACTAGCCAGGATGGCTATGTTCTACATAGAGGCAGTTTAGCTTTGAATATCAGGTGCTGGGAATCACAGGTGGAAAGTGTGCTCTTTTACTTAGGTCCTGCTGATGCGTTTCCCAGAGAGGCACCAGGCTGACTACTGTATAAACAGGATGCTGGACTGGATAGGCCTTTGACATGATCCAACAGGCTCTTTTTAATGTTCTTAACTCTCAAGCCGAAACAAAATGCATATGGAAATGCACACAAAATTGCATATTTTAGAACAGAATGCCTATAAAAATGCTTGGTTTTGTAAGGTAAAATATGCACTGGGAGGGAAAATGCCAATTTCTTGTGCAGCTTTTAGAAATTGCACAATGTTGTAGAAATGGAACAGAACAGACTTAACAATGAACATGGACCACAGATAGAGGGCTCCATTCATTCTAAATAATAATAATAATAATAGTTTTATTATTTATACCCTGCCCATCTGGCTGGGTTTCCCCAGCCACTCTGGGCCGCTTACAGCATATCTAAAAACATAATAAAAACATCAAGCATTAAAAACCTCCTGATACAGGGCTACCTTCAGATGTCTTCTAAATGTTGTGCAGTTCTTTATCTCCTTGACATCTGAAGGGAAGGCGTTCCACAGGAAGGCTGCCACGACCGAAGCGGCCTTCTGCCTGGTTTCCTGTAACTTCTTTTCTCACAAAAGACCCTTGGAGGAGGACCTCAGTGTCTGGGCTAAGCGATGGGGGTGAAAAAACTCCTTTAGGTATAGAGGGCCAAGGCTGTTAAGTGCTTTGCAATGTGAATTACACTGTGCACTTGCTATTAGGCAGGGAAGATATGGGTGGGAGAGGGCATGTCTGAATAATCCTGCTCCACTGCAGAAAAAGAAAATAAACCCCAACAACCTTCTTGCACACAGAAAACCAGTATGTCAGGAGGAAGGCTAGGCTAGACCTCTTCTTCACACCCTCGTTTTCCACTGTAGTATACAATCTCCTGCCCTCTGTCCAAAGTGGTAAATGCCAGTGAGAGCTGCACCAAGTGACTCCCCTTTTGTGCAGCTTAGCTCCCACTTTCAACAAAGAAACACCACAGCTCATCGTATGAGGGGTTAACTCACAGGTTTATTCAGCATACAAGTTCAGTTAAGTGGGAAGATTCAGCTTTCAGCTGGAATGTACAAATTATTGCTGTGTGGGATGTCCTACAAATGCTTTGGTTTCTGTTTTGGCAATTGTTAATATATGAAGAATGATATATAAACATGCAAATTTTAATTGCTGGAACACTAGCAAGCTTTCTTTTGAGTGAATGTCATAACTGGTTCTGGGAGCTCTGTATTCCTTACATAGTAGAAGAAGAAAAATATTTTCTAAGGTTAAAGAGAGAGAGAGAGATGATACTTCGCTGAGCTTGGCCGGCAGCACTCTGCTTCTAAGGCAACTTTGAGGCTTCTTGTCTGGAATAATGGCTTAAACTAGAGTGTGCCCAGCAGGGGGCAACCATGGCTTAAACAATTAAAGTACAGTGGTACCTCGGGTTAAGTACTTAATTCGTTCCGGAGGTCCATTCTTAACCTGAAACTGTTCTTAACCTGTTCTTAACTTTAGCTAATGGGGCCTCCCACTGCCACCACGCCGCCAGAACACAATTTCTGTTCTCATGCTGAAGCAAAGTTCTTAACCTGAGGTACTATTTCTGGGTTAGCGGAGTCTGTAAGCTGAAGCGTATGTAACCTGAAGCGTATGTAACCCGAGGTACCACTGTAACTGAAAACTGGTGCATTGAGCATTCTTTCCCCCTCCTTCCGAGCAGTCCTTCTTCCTTTCATGTTGTGTCTCTTAGATTAACAACCTGAGGGTCTTATTATTGACGGCCACCAACCTTGATGGCTTTGAAAGAGGACTGGACAAACTCAATGAGGATAAAGCTGTCAACGTCTCTGAACCATGATCACTATGACCTGCTTCTATGGTCAGAGGCAGTGATGCTTCTAAATACTAGTAGCTGGAAATAGCAGAGGAGGTAAAAGTGCTCTTGTTCTGCTCACGAGTTTCCCACAGGCCTCCTGGTGGCCATTGTGAGAACAGGATGCTGGACTAGATGGGCCATAGGCCTGATCCTGCAGGCTCTTGTTATGCTTGTAAGCTGATATGGGAGCCTTTTTTGGTCCCATAGCAGGATAAAAATGCTAATGCTGATTTAAATATATATATATAAATCATAACATAATAAAAGCGTAATCTAAAACATCTTTTCATATCTAAATATATTGTCACATCTCCAGATTAAAAACTATATCAGCGAAATATAATAGTACTAATATAAAGGCAGCAAAAATAGCATGCATAAAACAGCAGCAGGTAAGTTCTAAATGTAAATATCACATAAATGACGGATGTTGTTGCTGCTGCTGCTGTTAACAATTATGCTCCAAGACCTTTTAAAAAGCACCACTGTAGGGGCTGTTGAAAAACCAGCAGCTGGAAAAACAAAAATGGTCTTTCCTGTAACAGATCATGGTTTCTGCACTTACTTGTTTTTGAAATGTAAGCACTATGCCAGTAGTTAAAGGTCTCACTTTTCTGGATGCGAAACTTTTAACCTCCAGGGGAGAATGTACATTTCCACCCACCTCAAAGGATGCACTGGGCAGATTGCATCCAAGAATACCGTCCAGGTAGGAACACTGTGCAGGCCTTCTGTGACTATTAATAAACACTTGGGGGAAACCCATCTCCATTTTCCGAAGTGCTACTATTATGGATAGGACATTTCCCCTGCCCCTTTATTAGCTGCTGAACCCAACCATGAAAAGATGGAGGGGTTGAGAAATGTATAACTCTGGAGGACAATGTTACTTGCTCAGTTAATTGTTTCCTTTCTGGAGTGTCTATCTGTGGAAATGTCAAAACCTTCTCGTCAAGGCAGGGGTGGCGGGTAAAGGGAAAGCCATCATGACGCTGGCAAAAAGAGAGATAACAAATTCTCAACTTTGGCATTTTTGCTTCCCTTTCAGAGAAAAGCGCTTTCTTACTGCTATAATTTGAACCACAGATGTATGAATACTTTCTATGTGGGGTATGATTTGTGGGAAGGAACTTCCAATCAGAGTTTTTGCTTTTGATTTCACATTGATCTGGCTCCTCTGAGCCCAAAAGGCCACCCCACCCCCAGTTGTCCAAGATTTGGCCTCTCAACCTAGTGGCATAGCATGGTTTGCTAATGTCCGGGGCAAGTGTGGGTGCATGCCAGAGAGGGCAGGGCATGGGGGGAGGGTAAATGGAGCCCACTGTGCCAACCCAGCCCTTGCTGCTTATGCTGCCAGAGTGACACACACACACCCCGGAGCCAAGCAGGGTCAGGTTGTGCCACCTGCCTGTCTGCCCCCACGGGGGCGGGGACCCAGCCAACTGATGTTGCCTTTGGATCATTCCAGCCTCACAAAGTGGCTTGGGGCTTACAGGGCAGCATGAGAAGGACACAACAGCCATGCATCCTTTGATGTATTTATTTAAACCCTCATGAAAATTCATCAGCATTTCAGTGCAAATTTCTTGCAATACATGCATTGTATGCAATTTCACCTAGTCTAAATCTTTATGCAATATAATATTCCCTGATACAATGATTTTCCTATGTTATTTTTACAAATGCATGCATCTTAATGTGCTGCAATCTATAAATTTCTGTATGCGGGAGAAATGCATTGTGAAATTCAGAGATGTGCAAATTTTGAAGAACAGCTGTGTTTCACTTCACATACTGTTACAGAAAGTGCAGATTAGGGAGACTGGCCTTTAAACGTGAACTGAATCAAATTTCTCCCCCATCCCATCCCATTCATTTATTTGTTTAAACATTTATATCCCACTTTTATTCTATGGAGCTCAAGGAAGCAGACATAGTTCCCCTCCTCCTCGTTTGATGCTCACACTGATCTCATGAGGTAGGTAAGGCTGAGAGTGATTTTCACGGCTGAGGGGGGATTTGAACCTTGGTCTCTCAGGTCTTTGTCCAACACTCTAACCATTGCACCAAACTGTCTCTCTGACTATTGAGCATACTTGGTTGAGGCTGATGGGAGCTGGAGTGCAACAACATCTGGAGGAGGGCCAGGGGTTCCTCAAGCCCTCATGTGTTCCATCCTTCTGCTTTCTGTTGTGGCCAGCCAGATGTTTGCAGGAAGCCAACAAGCCAGACATGAGGGCAACAGTGCTCTCAAATTCATTGACATGCTATATCTAAACATGGAAGGATGTATAATGCTACAGTATTTTAAAGAATGGCACTAGCAGAATTCACATTTTCAGTCATTTCTAGCTGTTATTAACAAAAACCGTTGGGGAAGATGCTATAGAGCTCTGAGGATCAGAATACTTCTTTGCTCTTTCTAGCTGGGATATTGATCTGTATTTGCAGAATACTTTAACAATCCCCCTATTTCTCACCAGCTTTATATGAGAAATATCTTGTGACTCTTGTACTGTGCCCTGTACATTAAAAAAAAAGGATAGTGTGCTGTAACTCATTGCATATGTATTTTTACATGTCAGATACGTTGAACTTCATCCTCTTAACAACTCTCATTGATTTTCAGTTTATGTTGGCACCGTCTGTCTGTTGCAGAGGAGAAGATCGGTCTCGATTAGCATAACTCCGCTGAAGCCTTTTAAGTCAAATCTGTTTATACCAGTAGAGGATCTGACCTGCCAAATATAGCAGCTGTCTGTGATTTCGGGCGGTGTGATTATCTTGTCTGGTGCACCTCTAAAGCTTGCCTGTTCCATCAAAAGTGACTGAATGGAAGAGCGTGGAGAAGAAATGTTACTTCATCCTAAGCACATTGGTCCTGTCTGAAGGCAGCTGGGAGGGCCACATGAGTGCTCCAATGTACTCCAATGT